CTGACCACCACTGCTAGACTGCCCGTGCTGTCCCGGTCGGTCACCTTGCTTCGCCGGGGCGATTAATTCACCTGCGGTAGGAGCTCCGAAGGCCGCTCCGCTTTTAGCATCGCCTCATCCTGCAGGATGTACGAGGTAAGAGAGTCCTCGTTGAGTGACGCCCTAGTATTCGGTGCCAACGACAGCCTCTTCAGCAGGTTGTAGCTGCTCGTGAGCCCTTTGATGACGTGCGTGATGTACGACGCTATCGAGTGGGTCATACCAGCCATCCTCATTGTGGCCAGAAGTCGCCGAGCCTGGTTGAAGTAGTCAGTCTCCGTCTTCTGTTCGCCCGTCCGTAGGTGCGACAGCTGCTCCTCAAGCTGGCCGATGTATAAGGCGTCGGTGACCTGGTACGTTGACTTGATGAAGTGCCAAGCCCGGTGGCCGGCGTCTAGGTATTCCCTGCATGACCTTAAGGCAATCTGCACGCCCGGCGAGCAGCATCGCAAGGTGACCATGAAGGTCAGCAGCTGCACTACGCGAAACTCTGCACGCAGGTCAGGGTAGAGCTCCTCCGGCGTCGTCACGGTGCCACGGGCGAAGCCGATCAGATGGCCATCTTCAGCTCGGGCTCGATGGCTTCCTTCCAGGTGAGAATGTCGGGGCGGCTGACAAGCGAGGGGTTGACCGAGATCATGTGCGGCGTAAACTTGAAGTAGCCGTAGCTCGGTGTGATGCCTCCCGCGGTCACAGGAATCGCCGACATCGGCGACCTCCGACCTCCGACGTCGCCTTGCGTGGAGCCTGCAGCCGCCGACGACCGCATCCCTCGTGCCTGAATGCCGCCGACTTCATCGGCGTGAATCACACCTCGTTGCCTAGACGTGCCTCCCGCACTGCTGCCGACTTGGCCACCACCGGCGTTGACGCCCACGTCGACGCTGCCCTCTGTGTTCACCGGTCGAGGAGAAGCTGGCCGAGAAGGAGGGTGCTTCGTCGCCCACACAGCGCGGATGCCAGCCTCGATGTCCACCCAGGGCAGGTCGCCGTACTCGTTAGCCTCGTGGCGTCTCCTCGTGTTCTCCAGCCGTGCCTACAGGGTGTCTACCACACCCGTGTTACCTATGCCAACCATGGCGACACTCGCACAGCTGCCGGCCTACGAACACTATAGGTGAGTGACCATTACGTCGACTAGACTGAAAGGTAAGTCGTCCACGCTCACTGCACCATGCGGAGATGACTTAATAAATGGGAGCTAGACTACGGGCTAGACACGGGTGCTCGTGTGGTCTTTGCGTTCCTTAGTTGTTTTCCTTGTGTGCTCACTACTTGCTGGTTCACGGGGCAAATTGGCAAGAGTTTCACTAAGGAAACTTGACCACAATGATACAATCAAGTTGGCAAGACAAGTCTACATCAGAGCTAGCATGCAAGCAGGTCGATTGCAAGCACAGCACGGTCGACCGCGTTCCAGCACGACTTGGTCGATCGCGCTCCAGCAGTGCAAAGTCGACGGGGTGTCAGCGTTGCTCCCGCGAAACAGCATTGTACCTACTTCGCAGGTGCTCGCAGATGATTGGCGTGCTGTGTCATGTCACCTGCACAACGCACACACCAAGTCAACTTCGTGTTGACGATTGCATTTGATCAGCCACGTCGACCTCGGGATACCACCACCGAGATCAGTCTCGCCACTACCACCTAGGCGGCCGTCGCACTCCTCTGCAGGGCCTCGTCACCTAGGTAACCTAGTCGACCGGGCAACCACGTCGACCAACTGCTTCTTAACGTGCCCGTCGTCCACCCAAGTCCACAATCACCTCCTGTCGACCTCACCATGTCGACCACTCCCTTGGTCGACCGGCTCTAGGTTGACAACACTCCTGGTCAACCAGCACCACGTTGACCAACACACCTGTCAGCCGATCACACCAGGTCGGCTTCCCCAAGTCGGCGTCGCTGAGTCGACGCCCTCCACAGGTCGACTTCTCAAGTCGACCACCCAAAGTCGGCGCCCTCCCGAAGTCGGCGCCCTTGCAGTGGCCCCCGTGCAGGTCGACCAGTCCTGTCGACCAGCTCGCCCACTGCTGCAGGTCGGCTGCACTCCCCGCCCACCCGACCACGAGGTCGGCTCCGTCCAAGCGAGGACGGGGCCTCACAACGACTCCCGTTGACATTCTTCAGGCTCATCAATCACCCAGGCTTCAACAGGGCCGACGTGGGTGCGTGGGGCGGACTCAAAGACGTCGATCGCTACGCCACCGAGGTCCTAGGGCTTCATTACGGCACTTGGAAACGGATGGTGATGGTAGAGGGGATGACTGAACCTGTGGAGTTGGAGTACTGCGATTCTCTGGCAGTGAGTACTACCCGAGCAGTTTGGAGCATTGTAGTGGTGCCTGCCTCTCTTCTCTAATACCGATATCCCTTTCTCACCCAGTTTTGTCATAAATCCCCTGCACGGTTAGGGTATCTACTTCTATCTCTAGGCTCCCCCCGTGCGGTTCAACCTTGACGCGCCCTGCTCCCACATCCCCATTCCCCCCACACCTCTTGCGGTGATGCAGGTCTAGGTGGTCCCGACAAAAAAGATGTTCGGGCAGCATCCAATCTACTACATGATCTCCCTTGCTTCGCCGTGCACACCACACCCAACCCCTCCCTCCAACAGGCCGTACAGACCTTGTTTGGAGATCCTGAGAACAGGTCTGGGTTTGTCCTACGACAACGTGTGGGGCTCAACGCCGAGGGGAAAAGGGTATTTTCCAGACCAGAGACCGGGTTGTGGTGGCATGATGCCCAGGTATGTCATGATCCTGATGTGTTTTGAGGTATGGCTGCATTTGATGTTACTATTTTGCCGTGATTGATATTGACGATCTTTCACTTGTCGTTGTTTGCCATACAGAACGACATTCCAAATAAGGAGGGTGCCATAACCTCGGTTATTGCATATAGTGATGTCACCCATCTTAGTCACAACGGTAGGCAGACGGTGTGGCCCCTACAACTCACCCTCACTAACACACCCCATGAGGGCCGAGGGCGGAGTTCAGGACGAGCCTTAGTAGCATTTTTACCAATGGGCGAACCTGATCTCAAGCGTGCAGTCAAGACACGCTTCTTCCATGCGTGCATGGACATAATATTCGAGCCTCTAGTCAATGCTTCATACAGGTGAGTCCGATAGTCGACTCGTGTGTTCTTGAATTAGCCTCTTTAACCGGGACCACATACTAAACCTGCACCTTTGTCGACTGTATGCGCGGGCGATACAGCGGAACGAGCATGTTTGATCCAGATGGGATCCAGCGTGTAGCATACCCGATGATGTATGCGTACGTTTGTGATTACTCCGAAAGGTGCAAGGTTACCGCGACCATGCAGCAAGGTTTAGCACGTCCATGCTCAATGTGCGAAGTGCCAGGGGAAAGCCTTGACGTGGTAGACCGTCTTTTTCGGACCCGGTGCCCTAAGAAGCAAATGTCACTGCTGCACGACAAGGAAGAGTGGAAGCCCATGGGCACACATCCCGTTAAGGTGCGCAAATAAGTGCTTACACACTTTGATGCCTGGATCCTAGCTAGGGTGTATTCGACGATTATCCTTAAACAGTTTATTCTATTGTCGTGTAGAATGCTTTCTGCAAGTGGGCTTTTGCCACAGAGTAATGGGGAAATCCATCCGAGACAGTGCTGCCCGATGTATTGCACGTGGTGGACCTAGGATTATGGAAAAATATCCGTGAGCAAATCCGTGAAAAGTACTCTCCCGGCTTGCTACCTGAAATGGATCGATGAGCGCATACGGTTGGTACAATATTATAGAGCATAAGCTATTATAGTATTATTGACTTTTGCGGCTGTTGCTTCCTCAATGCTTAGAAGTTTTTTTTTTTTTTTTTTTTTTTTTTTTTTTTTTTTTTTTTTTTTTTTTTAAAATGGTTATTCCTTGTTCCAGTCGACATGACATTATCTATTAGGTCACGAGAGCAGCGGGCCTCAAATTACCCAAGCTCGGCCGGTATTTCAAGGGTGGGGCAAATTGTTCAGCCGCGGAACATTGTGCCATGGTGCAGGTTGCTCTCTTTGTCTTTGACGGCTTTCTTGACGCGGCTGAGATGCACCTCATTGTGTTGTTCCTGGAATGGTATGAGGCATGCTTCCGTGTCTCTGGCCACACCGAAGCTTCTATCAATAAGTTGGCCCACAAAACTGAAGTGTAAGAAACGGGTTGCTGTCTTCTTGATGGGCTAGGAATTTGAAGTCCGAGCCTCATACATCACGTTCGAAGCTGTCCTCCCTCCCCCATCCGTAGCTACCCCATTTTTCGAACCACCCTATTGTTTGGGTGCAGGTTGATAAACCGCTGTAAGGTGGTGTTCCCAAATCAGAAGTCAGCATGGCGCCTAGTCAAAGTTCACGCCTTATCGCACCTTCCGTATGCCATGATGACACACGGGATTCCAGAGGAGTACTCCACTAACACGTTCGAGCACTCGCATGTGTCACTTGTTAAGAGGTCGTACCACAGCTCTAACCGGCGTCTAATTCATGCAGCTATCATCGCCGCCGATGATATGCGAAGAGCCATGCGTGCGCTGCCGTGGAAGGAATCGGTGGACTCGCAATACATGACAGCCATGAGAGAGGTGGGTGTTCCATGATCCATTTGCCACTTTGCAGTTTTCTTGCTAACGTCTGTGTGTCCGCCTCACCTTCCGCCCCGATCCCCATCGCAGCTTGTGCTCACAAAGACGTCACAGCGCATGGTGGTCCCTGTGGACACGGGGGGCAGTGGAAGCAGGGAGGGATTGTGGCACACTTTTTGCCGGGGGCTGCTGAAAGACATGCGTCTGTTTACAGACACCTTAACCAACGCCGACACAAGGATGGCATCAGTACATGTGAGTTTCTGTTTGTACCCTGCGGCATGAGTGGGATCCAAGCCAGCCAGGGTGGGATGGGAGAAGGGGGGTAGGCCAACAAATGTGGGGTATACATAGGGGGGAAACGTCAGCCAGGTTGGGGAGGCAGAAGGGCAAATGAAAGTTTGGTTGGGGAGGGAGAAGGGGAAAGGCAAGCCCGGGTGGGGAGGGAGAAGTTCAAAGGCAAGTCTGGGTGGGGAGGGAGAAGGGGAAAGGCAAGCCAAGGTGGGGAGGGAGAAGGGGAAAGGCAAGCCTGGGTGGGGAGGCAGAAGGCCAAAAGCAAGTCTGGGTGGGGAGGGAGAAGGGGAAAGACAAGCCAGGGTGGGGAGGGAGAAGGGGAAAGGCAAGCCTGGGTGGGGAGGCAGAAGGGGAAAGGCAAGCCTGGGTGGGGAGGGAGAAGGGGGAAGGCAAGCAAGGGTGGGGAGGGAAAAGGAAATTTTGGGTGGGGACGGAGAAGGGAAGAGGCCAGGCAGGATGGGGAGGCAGAAGGACAAAGGAAAGCCTGGGTGGGGAGGGAGAAGGGAAGAGGCAAGCCTGGGTGGAGAGGGAAAAGGGGAAATGCAAGCAAGGGTGGGGAGGGAAGAAGGGAAAGGCAAGCCAGGGTGGGATGCTGAGAAGGGGTGAGGCAAGCCTGGGTGGAAAATGCAGATGGGGAAAGGGCCAGCCTAGGTGGAGAGGCAGAAGGGGAAAGGGCTAGCCTAGGTGGAGAGGCAGAAGGGGAAAGGGCTAGCTAGGGAGGGGAGGCAGAAGGGGAAAGGCAAGCCTGGGTGGGGAGGGAGCAGGGGATAGGCAAGCCTGGGTGGAGAGGGAAAAGGGGAAAGGCAAGCCAGGGTGAGGTGCTGAGAAGGGGTGAGGCAAGCCTGGGTGGAGAAGGAGAAGGGGAAAGGGCCTGCCTAGGTGGGGAGGCAGAAGGGGAAAGGCAAGCCTGGGTGGGGAGGCAGATTGGGAAAGGGCTAGCCTAGGTGGAGAGGCAGAAGGGGAAAGGGCTGGCATGGGTGGGGAGGGAGCAAGGTATAGGCAAGCCTGGGTGGAGAGGGAAAAGGGGAAAGGCAAGCCAGGGTGGGGTGCTGAGAAGGAGTGAGGCAAGCCTGGGTGGAGAAGGAGAAGGGGAAAGGGCCAGCCTAGGTGGAGAGGCAGAAGGGGAAAGGGCTAGCCTAGGTGGAGAGGCAAAAGGGGAAAGGGCTAGCCTAGGTGGAGAGGCAGATGGGGAAAGGGCCAGCATAGTTGGAGTGGCAGAAGGGGAAAGGGCCAGCCTAGGTGGAGTGGCAGAAGGGGAAAGGGAACCCTGGGTGGACCGGGAAAAGGGGAAAGGCCAGCCAGGGTGGGGTGGCAGATGGGGAAAGGGCCAGCCTAGGTGGAGAGGGAGAAGCGGAAAGGTCAGCCAGGGTGGGGAGGCAGAAGAGGGGGGTAGGCCAGCTAGGGTTGGGGAGGCAGGAGGGGCAGGCCTAGCCAGGGTGGGGTCTGTCATCCAGTCCCGCAAATACATGGCTGTGATGGCCCTAAACTCTTGACGGTGGCCATCCCTTCTTTATGTGGTGGTGATGCAGGTGCACACGGCGCTGGCTCTGGGCACCCAAGGATGCGACGACAATCGGACGGCCAATCCCGCGTGGGTGCGGGATTCACCGAGCTTCCATGGCAAGCATTGCTTTTCGTTTGTGCACATCAACCTGAATGGTCGCGAGAGTATTGCGAAGGTTCTGCTCCTATTTAGAGACTCATCATTGCCCGATCATGGCTATGCATTCGTGAAGCTCCTGTCATACCTTGGCAAGGACAATGACACGCGGGCGCCACGCCTTCATTTTGCGGGCGCAAATCCCGAAACGCCTGGATACGGTGTCGAGCCTGTGGGGAAGATCTACCAGTTGTTGCACGTGGTGAAATCCTTTGAGGAGGCGGACATTCTGTGCCCGAATCCTCATCTGTTTTGAGATGTTTGAGTTGCAGTCAGTTGATTAAACCGTCAAAAATCATGAGTGGTTGTTGAGTGTGCCGTTTAATACTCGTGCCTTTTGTGCCTAGGTCGTTAAGGGGTTGACTAACTTGGTCTCCTTGCCGGAGACCTCCCCGACACTGCGTTGGACGGGAGAGGTTGGCGATGCGTCGGTGTTCCGGGTCTGGGGATCTCGTGCCTTTGTCCACGATACTTCCGCGGACAAGCTCTCCTTTCGTGCCATTACCTGCGTCTTCCTTGGCTTTTCCCGTGACGCGCCTGGCTGGCAGTTTTACCACCCCACCTCGCGCCGTGTCATGCCCTCTCAGGACGTCACGTTTGACGAGTCGGTTCCCTTTTGCCGTCTCTTCCCCTACCGCACTGCCCCTCTCCCCCCCCCCCGCCGCTCTTCCTCGCACCAGGTCCTCCTCTAGTAGACCCCCTCCCCCCTCAGGGTCCTGCTCCCTCAGGTTTGTCCCGGGTAGACCCTGTCGAGCCTGTCGAGGAAGCTGTCGACTCTGGTGCTGCTAGGGGTGCTGAGCCTGCGGGTGCGGGGCCTGGGCTGAGCCTGAGCGTGCGGAGTCTGGGGGCGCTGAGACTGGGGGTGCTGAGCCTGAGCGTGCGGAGCCTGGGGGTCCTGAGCCTGGGGTTGCTGAGTCAGAGGGTGCGGAGCCTGGGGGTGCTGAGCCTGAGCGTGCGGAGCGTGGGGGTGCTGAGCCTGGGGGAGCTGAGCCTGGCGGTACTTTGTCTGCTGGAGGTCCTCCAGGTGTCTCGTCACGGCAAGAGCAACTCTCTCCACCACAGCTGCGCGAGTTGTTTGCTTGGCGCTGGAGCCTCCGGAGTGGCGCTGCTGGAGCTGGAGGTGCTACAGGGGCTGGAGCTGTAGCTGTTGGAGCTCCTGGAGCCGCTGGTCCCGGAGGTGCTTGTTCTGGAGGTACTGGAGCTGCTGGAGCTGGAGGTGCTGCAAGAGCTACAGCTGGAGCTACTGGAGGTGCTGTAGCCGCTGATTCCGAAGGTGCTCGTACTGGAGGTACTGGAGCTACTGGAGCTGGAGGTGCTGCAAGAGCTGGTGCTGCTGGAGGTACTGGAGCTGCTGGAGCTGGTGGTGCTGCTGGAGCTTGTGCTGCTGGAGGTGCTAGAGCTGCTGGAGCTGGAGGTACTGCTGGAGCTGGTGCTGCTGGAGGTCCTGGAGCTACTGGAGCTGGTGGTGCTGGAGACCCTGGAGCTCGAGGTGCTGGCCCTAGGGGTGCTGGTGCTGTCTGTGCTGGTTCTGGAGGCGCTGTGTGGCCGCGACCGTACTTCGTTCCACTGCTTCAGCAGGTTCTTGGTCTCCCGCCTTTTACTGGCCTTAATCCTCCCTTAATGTGTCCACCGCTTGACCAGTCCCAGCCGCAGTTATAGCCAGCCTCCCCACGGCCTGCTCCTGCTCCTTACAATGAGCAGCTCGGAGAACTTACTGTGCGTCGTGAGCCTGCGTCTCGTCCTACGTCGCCTGTTCGCGCTGTTCCCACTGGTCGTCGTGTTCCGCGTGAGCGTCCTCCTCCTGTCCCCGACACACACCAGATGGCACTTCGTCCTTCCTCTGCTCCACTGTGTGTCCCTCTGCCTTCTCCTCTTGCGTCCTCCCTTGCTGACGGTCTGTATTCGGAGTCCGGCTTACTTCTTGCTGCCAGCCCTACTGTCACGCGTCTACTAGCCACTATTGTCACTGACCCTTCCTTTGAGTCCATTGCTGCGTCTGCCTTAGTTGCTGAGCTTGTCGACTTTGCTGCTCACTGTCGTCTCGACTACGCCGCTAGGCTTGTTGCTGAGTCAGAGTCTGTCTGTCCTCCGTCCGTCGGGGGTGAGTGTGCTCTTGGCACGGACGTCCTTGAGGATAGGCAGGAGGATTTTGAGTGTTTTGCAGTTGTTGTACCTCATCTCGTGTCCATGGTGATTGCACCTGAGGGAGACCCAGATGCACCAGACATCCCGACCCCGCTCTCTTACGCAGAGGCGATTGAGGGTCCCTACTCCTCTCAGTGGCAGTCAGCCATGGACGCAGCGATGGCATCCTGGAAGTCCACAGGAACTTACGTCGACGAGGTTCCCCCATCTGGGGAGAACATTGTTAGTGGAATGTGGATTTTCAGGGTGAAGCGGCCGCCGGGCTCTCCGCCTGTCTTCAAGGCGCGTTACGTTGCACGAGGCTTCAGTCAGCGACAGGGAGTTGACTTCTTCCAGACCTTCTCCCCTACCCCGAAGATGACCACTCTTCGGGTTCTGCTGCATGTCGCCGCTCAGCGTGACTACGAGCTTCACTCTCTTGACATCAGCACAGTTTTCTTACAGGGCAGCCTGCACGAGGAGATCTGGCTGCGCCGCCCACCTGGCTTCACTGTGTGAGAGTACGACGGCTTATGCCAGCTATGCTTGCTTGCCTTTACTTTATTATGCTATTTCTAGCATAGGATAATTATATGCATGCATGAATTGCTTGATTTCCTAGGCTAGGTGCTTTCCTATATTTTATTATAGTTATAGCACCGAGCTAGGTTGCGTGCACCGAATTCTGGCTTTTCGGTTGCCACCGAATTGCCTTCTACCGAATTCGGTAAGGATCTGTTCGGGACGCTTCGCGACCCGCGGAACCTTCGCGTAACACCTGGTTACGGGGCCTTGTGTCGAGCCTATATATAGCCTCGTGTTGTACCCAGGTGATCATTCAATTCGATTCAATTCACATTCTCTTTTCTGAGCTCGATCCTAGATCCTCACACTTGGTAATCAGAGCCCGTTTACACGCGAAGCTCTTTCGACCGCTACAAACCAGTCTTCAAAAAACCGCGGGGGCGACGCAGTTAAACATCGATTTCGGGTACGTAAAACCGGTTCCGTGTTTTTCGCTCCCCCTCGATTCGGTTTTTCGGACGCGTTGATGTCAGGCATGGAAGGCCAAGGCGACAACTACGCGACCACGAGCGACATCGCGAGCCTCCGCACCGACATGGAGCAGACGCAGGCGACGCTTCGTCGACTCGAGGCTTTTCTGACAAGCCAACCATGGTTCGCCACCGCAGCAGCAGCGACCGCAGCGACTGCAGCACCGACAACTCCAGCAGCAGTGGCGACACCGACATTTCACGGACCGATGGCACCACTGTCGCCGAACCTCGAAGCAGCACGACCGAGGCTCCCTGAGGCGTTCGATCCAAGCGCGAAGGGATCCGACGTCCGGCGATTTGTGGCCACCCTCGAAATTTACTTCGAGGCCATTGGCTGTTCGACCCCGCAACACGACGCAGCAAGGATTCGGCTCGCAGCGACACTGTTACGTGGACCGGCTCTCGAATGGATTTACTACACCGACGTAGCCCGCGGGGAGAAAACGTGGCAGCAGTTTCGGGCAGATTTAATCAAGCGTTTCGAACCAATTAATACGACCTACATGGCGCGGCAGCAGATACACCGACACAGGAAATACAGTAGTGTAGCACAGTACACGCAGCAGATGGAGTTACTGTTCAACCGCATCACCGACCTGACCGAAGGCGAAAAAATCCAGGCGTACACCGAAGGGTTAAAAATGGAGATTCGGCGGCAGGTGATTGCGGCGAATTACAACAGCTACAGGGACATCGTGCGTGCTGCCGAGCGATACGACGCGCTGACTCGAGGTCAACCCGAAACACGACGCTTCACGCCGAACCGTACATTCGGCACGGAGCGATCGGCACCCCCCACGTTCGCCGAACCGATGGATATCGACAAATACGATGCGAAGCAGCAACCGACAAAATGCGAATTTTGCGGCGCAGCAGGGCATCAGTTTTTGTCGTGCTACAAAATGAAGAAAGCACGTGCGGCACTCCGGAACGGAAACAGTGGAGCACCTCCGAAGTCAAAAAACGGGAATCGCCAGTAGCCGCGGATCGACCTGGCGATCGCGTAAAGATCCGAAAAGCAGAAAAAGACGACGACGTGGCGACTTCGGAGCGGGCGAAAAAAGGAGAAAATGATGGCGCGAATCAAAAACGTCACGACCGGCCGGCATCAGGGGAAATCGCCGAGGCGAATGGAGGCTCCGCAAAAAAAGACTCTGCACCGACTGGGAAACTCCAGCCGAACACCCACGAAAGTAAGAATTCGTTAAAAGTATCCTATAAAGATACTCTAACGAAGAATATTGCTTCTCGTGGTTTTCAAGCCTTTGAAAAAATCAGGGGAGGTTTAGAGGCTAAGAAAAAGCCTTTAGAAATCATTCAGGTACCTGAGAAGTTGGGCAAAGTACTACGGAGCGTAGAAAAGGGTCGTGCGTTCCGTGGAGTTAATATTCTCTCCCCGCAGCACAGTGTTAAGGCTCCCCGTTGCCCACAGGTGAAGCCTACACAGCTGCCAAGGCTTAGAGGAGACATCCAGGCTCAAGAGAAATTATACAAGCCTCGGAAAAATCCTCCTACCCCCCAGGTGAAGTTGGAAAGTGCTGAGTCGGGTATAGGAAATGTCAGATTTATATGACTTAGCTGCTGTAGGCTATAGTGGGGTAGCACATATGGGGTACAGCTTTCTAGGGTTTGTACTTGTACCCAACTTTCCCTTAGTCAATTCATTCCTCGTTCATTTTCACATGGTATCGAGCAGGTTCCCCTGTGGGAACTGTTCCTAGGGCCCACCAATTTTTTTTCCTGCCCGGAGCGCGCTCAGCCTCTGCCCGAGTCGCGCTCCCCTCTCACGGCCCCGTCGGGCCGCCCTTACGACCCCGTCGCGCCGCCTCAGCGGCCCCGTCGCGTCGCGCCTCCCTAGCGGCCCCGTCGCGTCGCCCTTGTGACCCCGTCGCGCCGCCCTCGCGGTCCCGTCGCGTCGCGCCGCCCTCGCGGCCCTTTCGCGCCG